AGTGCAGCGGTGTGATCTCAGCTCACTGCAACCTCTGCGTCCCGGGTTCAACCAATTCTCCTGCCTCAGCCTCCTGCATAGTTGGGATTACAGGCACCTGCTACCACGCCTGGCTAATTTTTTGTTTGTTTGTTTGTTTGTTTGTCTTTAGAGACGGAGTTTTGCTCTCGTTGCCCAGGCTGGAATGCAATGACATGATCTCAGCTTACCACAACCTCCACCTCCTTGGTTCAAGCGATTCTCTTGCCTCAGCCTCCCGAGTAGCTTAGATTATAGACACGCGCCATCACGCCCGGCTAATTATTTTTTTCTTTTTCTTTTGTATTTTTAGTAGAGATGAGGTTTCTGCATGTTGGTCAGGCTGGGCTCGAACTCCCGACCTCAGGTGATCCGCCCGTCTCAGCCTCCCAAAGTGCTAGGACTCCAGGCATGAGCCACCACGCCCAGCCATTTTTGTATTTTTAGTAGAGACAGGAGTTCACCATGTTGGCCAGGCTGGTCTCGAACTCCTGACTTCAGGTGATCCACCATCCTCAGCCTCTCAAAGTGCTGGGATTACAGGCATGAACAATCACACCTGGCCCAATTATACCTACTTTTAATAACATGCAGATTCACAGGTGGTTTGACCAGGGCTAACCTGAAGCCCTCCCATGACAGGCTGCTGGGAGAATTCTAGGCGGTGCCACCCATGAAGTGATTACGAAACACTCGAGAAACAAGTGGGGGAGGAACTGAATCCTCTCTTCCCTCCCCATCCCCCCCAGCCTTGCCCTTGTCTGCCCCGGGTGAGGTTCAGTGCACAAAACCCCAGAGACTGACAACTGGACCCCAAGGAAAATAAAACCAAAGGCAGAGATATATTTTGGCAAGAAAAGGGGGTGCCCCCGTTCACATTCAATTTTTTCTGGACAGAACCTTCCCGGTTGATGGTTCAAAAGGAAGCACAGTACCCCAGCAAGTAGGTCAAATTCAGGGTGAAAGAGCAATGGAAGGCCGGGTGCAGTGGCTTACGCCTGTAGTCCTAGCTGCTCAGGAGGCTGAGGCCCGAGAATCGCTTGAATCCAGGAGGTGGAGCTTGCAATGAGTTGAGATGGTGCCACTGCTCTCCAGCCTGGGCCACAGAGTGAGACTCCGTCTCAAAAAAAAAGAAAAAAAAAAAAAAAAAAAAGCCAGGTGCAGTGGTTCATGCTTGTAATCCCAGCACTTTGGGAGGCCGAGGCGGATGGATCACCTGAGGTCAGGAGTTCAAGACCAGCCTGCCCAACATGGTGAAACCTGTCTCTACTAAAAATGTATGGTGGCATGCACCTATAGGCCCAGCTACTCGGGAGGCTGAGGCAGGAGAAACGCTTGAACCCGGGAGGTGGAGGTTGCAGTGAGCTGAGATGGTGCCACTGCACTGCAGCCTGGGGGACGGAGCAAGACTCCATCAAAAAAATAATAATAATAATAGCTATGCAAGACCCTCTTCCAATGTCCCCGCGCCCTTCCTGGGGCTGGGAGGGGCGCAGAGAAGTAGTAGGAGCTCTGGATGGGAAAAGGGAGCCGAGAAAGGGAGAGGTCTTGGTAAAAGGGAGAAGTTGGGGTTCCCCGGGTTGGATTGGGGTCAACCCCAAAACCCTGCTGCTGACGCCCACTGTCCATCCAGCACCCCCAGTTCCTGAATCCTCAGCAGATGGGCTGTCCCAGGG